GAGCACCTGGAGGAAACCCACGCTGACACAAGGAGAACATGTCGGAGCACCTGGAGGAAACCCACGCTGACACAGGGAGAACATGTCAGAGCACCTGGAGGAAACCCACGCTGACACAAGGAGAACATGTCGGAGCACCTGGAGGAAACCCACGCTGACACAGGGAGAACATGTCAGAGCACCTGGAGGAAACCCACGCTGACACAGGGAGAACATGCAAACTCCGCACAGAAGGTTCCACACCCGGGATCAAACCAGGAATCGTCTTGCTGTGAGGTGCTAACCACTACACCACCATGCCGCCCATTATTATTATTATTATTATTATTATTATTATTATTATTATTACGTAGTAAAATGAGCAGCCCGTATTTAAAGCAGACGTCATCTTGTCGCGACCCAGGCGGAAGTGTGTGGTCGGATCCAAAATGGCGGAGAACTGGAGCGAGTTGCAGCTGAAGAGGCTGATGTCGGTGAAGAAGAGGAACCGGAGCGTTTAACAGCGTCAGAACCGTCAACGGGCGGCAGCAGCGGGATTACCGGGCAGTGTACGCCGCAGTCAGGAGGGTCTCCGGTAGATGGTGTAAGGTTTGATTCTCTGATTCCGTTTAACGCAGCGCAGCGGCTAAGTTAGCATGCTAACATGTCGAGTCACGGGAGTGTGACTGTGTCCCGGTCAGTGTGCGGTGTGTGTGCGGGATGTTTACAGCTGTTTTCAGCCCGGTAACACCGCACACACACCGGGACACACCGTGTTTATCTTCTAACGGCTGTAACGGAGTCACTAACGGACCGTTAGCATGTTAGCATGTTAGCCTGCTGTCTTCCTGTTTGTGTTGTGCTTCCCTTTAGCATCACATGCTAAAAGAAGCTAACAGTTGCTAATCACGTGAGGATGATTATTGATTGGCTCAGAAATTAATCAGTGATCGATAATCAGTATATCGATCTGTATGAGATGTGTTGTTAGTGCTGCAGAGACACACGGTGGATCTGTTCGGTCTTTACCGATCAGCTGATCCTCATCATTGACTGATTTATTACCTCCGCAAAGGAGGTCATTTTTTTCGCCGGCGTTGATCTGTTTGTTTGTTTGTCTGTTTGTTTGTTTGTTTGTCTGCAAAATAACTCAAAAAGTTATGAACGAAATTTTCAGGAAAAGTGGATAATAGGACAAGGAACAGATGATAAAATTTTGGTGATCGGTTGAAGCAAAGAGGATAAAATAATAAAGTAGCGCTTAATAGCACTGTGTATTCACCGAGTTTTATTGTTAAATATTGTTGTAATTCTAAAGTTGAAAAAATGAATTTTCTGTGTTGGAAAAAAGCAAAGTGAAAAATACAAAAAAATATATTCTGTGTTGGTACGAAATAAATACACCACAATAGTCGGGTTTCCATCCACCTATTTTTATTCGCATTTTCAACAATTGTGAAAAAAAACTTGAATGGAAACTCCAGAAATTTGAAAAAAGGCCGAAATATCTCAAATAAGTTTTTACGCTTGGAGGGGGTGGAACAGTCAGCGTATCGATATTAGGAAAATGCGACTTTTGGCAATGGAAACAGATTTAGCGAATAAACAATGACGTAGGCTACCGAATCCTACTTCTACTTCACACACACACACACCTGTGTGAACTTAGAGAGAGGTAATTACTCCAGTGTCAGGTGAGTGTATTTCACAACTTACCTGAATAAATTTGACGTGTTGAATACCGCTGCATCATTTGCGCTGCCTGGTGTACCAACACAGACATCACAGCATTATGTAGGCTACGTTGACAACGCTGATATGAGTGTGAGGAGAGCTCTCGCAGTGGCCAAGAAGTTCCCAAGGAGTCGCTCCATCTCGTCGTAGTCATGGATGTGCCGGTAATTGTTTACATCAGTTGTGGACATGAGACGCTACGTCATCTCACGGTGCCCTCTTCTTCTATGGATGTTCTTTTGCATTTTTATTTTTCATGAGAAGCGCCACCTTCTGCTCGACCTGTTGACTCCCAATACTCGCAAAACAATAATGAATGGAAACATGCATAAATTCGCATTTTCTTTTGCGCATTTTCACAAAATTCGCTTAAAATTTGCAATAAATTTGGATGGAAACCCAGCTAGTTTCTCCATGGTGAAGGCATATATAACCTAATAATGATAGTGATGCAAATAACCTAATTGTAATGCAGGTTGGTGCAGAGGGGGGAGGGAATATCACCTACTTGGCGGAGGTCTGCACTGTCTGAGTGCTTTTCTAGTTGATTTTAGTCAGAGCTACTGAGGGTGTCTGAGTTCACTATGACGTCAAACAGTGTGAAATTAATTATGAAGATATGTGGTGAGCGATTGATCGGCACAGAGTCGGATTACAGTTTGATATTAAAGAATCACCATCAGCAATGTGACGTCACAGAACGAATCAATAAACAAAGATGACCACTTTATTAGGAACAGCACAGTCTACATGTCAGGGTCCAGACACTGGGGTTGGGTCGGTATGAGAAGAAAAAAAAAAGGTCAGGTTTTTGTGAAAAACCGCATCAAGTTGGTAATACCGGATATTTGCCACTTGGGGGCGCAATTGACTCATTTAAAATAAAAAATGATCATAGGACAACAGAGTGACAGTAACACGTTTCTTTTATTCCTTACAAATAAATTTGCAGGTTCAGCTTACTCAATCAGTGCAAGAAGGGTTGCCTCCATTGTCTGGCTCAAAGCCAAAGTGTTGCCATATTGGCGCATTCTTTGATGTCTTCTAGACTAAACTGTCCGCCATTATCGACTCCCCGTCACTGTTAAACAAACTCCAGGCTGCAGTAGAGGCCTCGGCGCATGCACACTTGCACCCCCTAGCTCAGTCCCCGCCCCACCCCCCTCTCTCTGCTGCTCGCTGTGCGCTTAGCGAAGAGGCAGACACAGGCTGTAAAATGACGTATGCTGTAAGGTAGGTCTCAAAAAAAGAAACTCGGTCCAAGACGGAGTACTGAACCAAATTGGTATTACCGAGAACCGACCCAACCCTACCAGACACAGTCCTGGAAAACCTGGAAGAGTCCTGGAATTAATAAAGATCCTTGAAGATAACGAGTCAACGATGTTTACAAATGTTTTGTTTGTAAACATCTTGCATGTTGTTAGATTTTCCTGCCGTGTTCATCACTTCCTGTTTGTCGGCTGACTTTATGTTTAAATGTCAGGCAGTTAAGAATTGATTTTCTCTGAGCAGTTGTTGAAACGCTGATGACACAGTGACGGGGGCGTGTCTTGCTTCACTGTCAGGTGGCGATGGCGGAGCGACGGGCGGAGTGCACGTGGAAGAGACACATCTCAGACCAGCTGAAGCTCAGAGACCGAGTCCAGAGACAGGCCTTTGAGGAGATCGTCCTCCAGTGTGAGTCCGTCTGTCCATCTGTCCCTCACACTGTGGGTGTGTGTGGACAGACAGTTAAACCTGTCTCTGTCTCTGCCTCTGCCTCTCTGTCTCTGTCTCTGTCCCTTAGATAACCGTCTCCTGGAGAAGTCCGACCTGCAGGCTGTTCTTTCAGAGAGATACCAGACGGACAAGTATGACATCCAGAGAGGACACGAGACCAGGTGAGTCCTCAACATGTCACTTGTCCCCTGATCTGTCCCCTCTGACCTGTGTCCCCTCTAACCTGTATCCCTTCTGACCTGTGTCCCCCCTAATGTCCCCTCTGACCTGTGTGCCTTCTGATCTGTCCCCTCTGACCTGTGTGCCTTCTGATCTGTCCCTTCTGACCTGTGTCCCCACTGACCTGTGTTCCTTCTGACCTGTGTCCCCTCTGACCTGTGTCCCCCCTAATGTCCCCTCTGACCAGTGTGCCTTCTGACC